GCACAGAGCCCGACACAGGGCTCAAACTCACAAATCGTGAGATCATGACCTGAGCCAAAGTCGGACGCCCAACCCACTGAGCCACCCAGGTGCCCTGAAATAGATTTAATATGTATTTTGTTCTTACTTAGCTTCCCCTTTCCTTTGAGTCCTTCTATATACTTTTGCAGCTGGATCTTTGCCATGGCTTTCTCATAGTCTTGTATCTCGCTGCCCCATATCTTCTTAGCCATGGAGGCATATCTTGCGTGTCTCTTACAGCTGCCAGTTTTTTCGTTAGAATCATATTTTTTTCCTTTGGTATCTGAAAAAGGCTAGTTTAAGGGTTGCTGTAGTGCTAGCAAACTAATTGCAATGATTGAACTATGATCCTTACTAAAGTCAGGAGACAAATCTAGAATAAATGTTGAAATTTTCATCCAGAAATGAGGGGAGAATTTTGGGTTTTTTCAAAGGCTACAAACATCAGTGCATAAAGAAAATAAAGATAGATTTTTGGTATTATTTTCATCTTCAGAGAATCTTGAGTTCTGGAACGACAGCTTGTAATTGTTTTTGTATTTTTTAGATTTCTGTTCTGATACTACTAGGACTTTCGCTTAGATCAGTGTTAATTCAGGCATGAGCACAACGTTTAAAGTTGTAGATGAAAAATGTACCATTTTTAACAGTCTTGTTTTAGGTAGGTATAAGGTACTCCAAATTCCAGTGGTTTCTAACATGAATTTCTTTGGAAAAATGTCACTCATTTGTGCTCTTTAATATTTCCTGAAGTGCTTGCTTAGGTTTCTGTTTTTTATGAAGTTATTACGCTGTAGACATTTAAACATTTTTTTTCCAAGTGTTGTCTCCCTCTTTCTGTTTTCTCTGTATTATGAAACTTGAAGAATTTTATTATTTGTCACCATAGTGGTGTTGGGGTTTTGTTAGGTTTTAAGTTTTACTGAAGAGTGTTGTTCTGAAGCCATACTTGCTGGTATGCTATTCATGTATTTACTGTGAATAATTATATTTTTATAATTAGGAATTTCGTGAGGATATGCCCTCCATTCTTGCTGATGTATTCTGCATATTAGGTAGGTATTAAGCCTTTATTTCACCTGTAAAAGTGCTGTTTGGTAAATTAATATACTGTGTTAAATAAAATGCTTTCTTTCAAACAAATGTTTCTACAAATCTAGATTGTATTATTTTACTTTTATAGAGAATGTGGTGTTGTAAGTCAAATGTGAGTATAATCACTGTTTATAAACTAACTTTAGATGGTTTTAGTTTATAATTCAAATAGTTGGGAGTTTTTTGGAATGTATGTTTATATAAAATTGAGCTAAATTAAGTCATTTCAAGTAAAAAAAAAGTTTTCTGAAGTTCATTTAGTCTGAATTATTCATATTTTAGTAACCACAGGATTAATCTTCTTCACTTCAGGTTATCAATGAATGTGAGAATCCCAAACTTAGGACACTCAAGAGATATTTACTTTGCTATTATATATACTCTTTTGATTCTTCTTAATTTTAGAAAGAGCAAGAAGAGCCAAAGTAATTAAAAGTACTTTTGTTTTGAGGATGAGAAACCAGCTTTGGAAATAGCAATTTCTCTCTCCAGAATAAATAAGAATTTATGCAAGATGGAAAAGAAATATTTCTTTGACTTAGAACAAAAGGTAGTGTCTCTCCATGGGAAGCATGGATTTAAAAAATAATATATATTATAAGTTTATTTCTCTAATTTTAGATTTGAATTAAAATAACTTTGAGCACAGTTTTCTCCATCAGTATTATGCTTTCTAGAACTTTGATCTAATAGAAACCTTTAGCAGACATGATAGTATTCACTTTAAAATAAGATATCCTCTGAGAGTTTGTCAAGCTGGAGTGAATTAATTTAGCTCATTAATCTTAATTCCTAGAATAGATAGGTTACTTAAATGTCTTACTGAGAATCTGGGAATTTGATCTCAACAAATCTAAATGCCTGGTGCTTGATCCTTCAGGATATTTGAGATTTCATAACAGCAGTAATGTCAGGAACAGGTCAAAATGTATGTGGACTGTGAGTGATAAATGAAAAGAGCAAACTACTGATAGGGTGACCATATGTCCCACTTTGTCTTGTTTTCCATGGCATAATTAATAGTGCCTTATTTCAGTCTTAAAACTGTCCTGGTTTGGATCATAAAGTATATGTTCATACTGTCTATTGAATTGATTTATGCCAGCGACAACAAAAAAACCTCTTAAGCTGAATTTTTAAAGCAGGCAGTAAAGGTATTACTTTATGTTACATATAAATACAGCATGAGACAAGTTTAAAAAATTAAAAAAATGCTTTTTACTATAAATTTGTAGGACTGAAAGTGATTTGTAGGTAACATTTTGTGGAAGCTGTTGTTCCTTGATAGTGTCAGGAGTATATTTTATGTCTTTCTTTGGGTGATCATAGGTTAGCTTACTAGTAAGTTCTAATAATTTCTTTATTGGTTTATTCTATTAGGATATATTTTCCTTTCATAGTTATTTAGTAATATGAATTATTGTTACAAGTCATTGCTTTTTACTGATAACATGAATTTATGAGGATTGTTTGGTTTCTCTTGGGAAATTTCTTTTAGCCTATCAATTTTTTTTTTTTTTTTAGTGTTTATTTAGTTTTGAGAGACAGAGAAATAGAACCTGAGTCGGGGAGGAGCAGAGAGAGAGGGGGACACAGAATCTGAACTGTCTGAGCTGTCAGCACAGAATCTGAGCTGTCAGCACAGAGCCCGACACGGGGCTCGAACCCACGAACCGTGAGATCATGACCTGAGCCGAAGTTGGACGCTTAACCAACTGAGCCACCCAGGCGCCCCTAGCCTATCAATTTTTACAAGCAAGATTAGAATGGCAAACTTAGAGAATTTCACTCACCTGTTCCCTCACTCACCCATCCCTACCCTTAGCAGAAAAAAAAAAAGATCCAAGGATGACCCTAGACCAAACTAGGGGAATAGGAGTAAGAATGGAAGCTACCTGTAAGATAGTGATAACGGTAATAACGTAGATGCCATTTTTGGAGCACCTTTTATGTTCTAAGTATTATGTTACGCATTTAATTTCATTTTAATCCTCACAGCAACTTCTGTAAGGTAGGTTTACAGATCAGAAAATTGAAGCTCAGAGAAGGGATTTTTCAAGGCCTTTTATTTAGCCAGTAAGGCAGAGTTTGAACTTGGGTGTTTTTGATTCCAGAGACCATAATCTTTTTACTACATCATTTTATCTTTCTAATATTTTAACAGTTATAAGAGAAATCAGTGCTGTACTTTCCTGGTTAAGATAGCAACTTCTTTAAAAGACTAATTATGTAAGGATGAGGGAACCTGAGAGCTATATTAACCTGGAAGGGGAAGTCTGAAGTAACTTGATGCACTGATGGGATCTCTGAGCTGGATTGGGTGGTTGGTGATCCTGGGGCCTAGAGTTGGAAATGGCTGAGGGCTTTTTAGTAAAATCATAGGGGAAATTAAAGAGAATTTACCAAGTACTGACTCAAGGTTGATGAGTCAAAGATAATGAATAAATTTATTAGAATAGTTTCATAAGTTAGGACAAAAAGAATAAAGAAAACAGGGAAGGCATACATACTTGTGATAATAGAGTCCTGTGTTGATTGTTGAGGTGGATCAGCAGAGGTATTTTGATCAGGTCACGTAGCTAAGAGGAGAGCAGACTTGGCTTGAAGAGAATGAACCTGCTACCCAGGTGCTCTGATCTTAGGGACTTTTCGGATAGATCTTAGGGACTTTTGGGCCTTGGTAGATAGATGTTGGTTAAAAGAATGGGTCCAGTTTAGTCCTGACCCCTCAAGATTAATATTCTTGAAGTTCTAGGTTGAGGAGGGACCAGAAGACCAGACAACAGGGAAGCAGCTAGGAGTCCCTGGAAGGGATTGATGAGATCCACATGTATTAAAAGTCTTATTGAGAGGATGAGATTGTATTACAGTTACATTGTATAAATTACACCCTGAAATTCTCTTAATACACTTGAGCTAACCATGTGCTTAGCTACAGTGGCCAGGATATTGGGAAATGGCATTGTCGAAGAAGGGAAAGGGGAGAAGGGCCAGGAAAATGGATATGTTTGATGATAAATTCCTTTCTCTTTTGATTCTCAGTGATGGCAATAGAAAGTAAACTGAAGCAAAGCAGTGGTAGGACATCTGGATAGAACTGTAGAACCCTTAGAAGACAATTTTATTACATCTCTAAAATTGGTGCCTCTTCTAAATTATGAGTTGAGTTAAAGCAATAATCCTGAGATCAACCTTGTAATCCTGTCAATCCTCCTTGAATTTTTTTTTTTTTTGATGCTTGGCATTAAAAGCTAATTGTTTTATTTCCTACATCATAAAATTGACAAATTTTCTGAATAATTTACTGAAACTCGGGTCTCAGTTTTTAAATATTTCAGTAGGAAGAAAATAAAAATCATGAATAAATTTTTATTTGCTGACCAGAATTGTAATTCAAAATAAGATGTTAAAAATATTCTTTTAGGGGCGCCTGGGTGGCGCAGTCGGTTAAGCGTCTGACTTCAGCCAGGTCACGATCTCGCGGTCCGTGAGTTCGAGCCCCGCGTCAGGCTCTGGGCTGATGGCTCAGAGCCTGGAGCCTGTTTCCGATTCTGTGTCTCCCTCTCTCTCTGCCCCTCCCCCGTTCATGCTCTGTCTCTCTCTGTCCCAAAAATAAATAAAAACGTTGAAAAAAAAAATTAAAAAAAAATATTCTTTTAATACTGTCTCTTCATAGAGTTGATGGCCAGGTAGCTTGGTTAGAATGTGGTACATGGTACCAAGGTGGCCAGAGTCAAGGGTTTGATCTTCACAAGTAAGAGGATCTTTAGTGTTAGAAGGGATCTTTGTTCTTACCCAGTCCAACTTTCCACCTAAGGAACAATCGTTCTTTAGTATCTCTGATGTGTGGTCATTTAAAATTTGCTTGAATATTTCCATTTTTGAGAACATTAATTTTTCGAAGTTTTGTTGCTTCTAGTGCCATAGCATGTAGTTCCTGTGTAATCAACTTACCGTTTTATGGGTATGCCATTGGTCCCAGGGTCAGTCTCCAGCATGAGGAGAAATTAATCCTAAGCATTCATATGCATATGAAGGACAGCTCATGCTTACTATATTTACACATTTTTTTCCAAATTCAGAAAGAGGGGTTTAAAAATTAGTTTTAAAGAAAATAAGTATCCTATTATAGTGCTGTAGAGAGTCTAGAAAAATCAAACTTTTGTCTTTTTTTCTTCCATCATTATAGATATTGAGACAAATTGTTTAGAAGAAAAAAGCAAGAGAGACTATTTTACACAATTGGTATTAGCATGTTTGGTAAGTTATAAAAAAATACTTTCCTTTCTAGATTTTTACATTGAACAATTGTAATCATAGTTAATCATGTTAATGGAGGAGGATAGTGACACTCACTTGGCTATTCATTCATTATAAGGTGAGATTTGGATTTTGAAATCGAATGCTTTGTAAAATTAGACATGCTGATTATTTCTATGAAATATGGATGCTTCATAGCACTTAAACAATCTGTATATTTTAAACTTTTGGTCATATTCATGACCTAGAAAGTTCTAAATAAGGAAAAAGGTAAGCATCTATCAAGTGAGTAGAAATGATGTGGACAGCTTTTAAACTGAACAGTTTTTCATAAACTCTTTATTAGGCAAGGAGAAAAAGAATGGAGGTAGTTTAAAAATAATAAATTCAAGAACTTGTCATAATCATTGTCTAGTAAACCATTTTGTGTTCATAAATTTAGAACTGAGGAGAAATGCTATTACTCAGACCTGGAAGAGTGTCCTTGTCTTTGCTGTACTAGAATTTGACTTAAACAGTAGAAACTAAAGAAGGCTGAAGTGCTATATTAATCTTAAAGAAAAATTCAGTTGACAGACTCAACTTTAATCAGAATTTCATCTGTAGTTCTTACTTGTAGGCTGTGTACAGCACGCATGTAATTTTTTAGTGAGTTTTTAAAAGAGCTATATGTCACATATTTCAGTATTTGGGGAGTCATCCTTTTTGTTAAATTGAAGTTCCAAGATTTTTTTTTTATAAATTAAAAGTTGTTGATATATGTTTAATGTGATTTTTAATATTCTTGTTTGGGAAAAATTATTTTGAATACATTAAGATTGCATATGCATTGGAATGCTAAGGAATAAATGGCCTTTAATATTTTTTAATACAGTATTTAGTTTCAGACACAGTTCTAAAGGAACGCCTGGATCCAGAAACTTTGGAATCATTAGGGCTTATTAAACAATCACAGCAGTTCAATCAAAAGTCAGTTAAAATCAAGACAAAGCTCTTGTAAGTACATGTATCTTTATGTTGCAGATCAAGTATCTGAGTATGTTTTCTTAGTTCTCATTTTGAATACTAGAAGTTTCTAAAGGCAGTTTGAAGATTTTTTTTGTTGCTGTTAGCGTGTATTGTGTTTTTTCCCTTTTAAAAATAGCCTATGATTATTGAGTCAGCAGTGAACTTTACCTGTATGAAACCAATGTTAATTTTTCTCCATATTAGAAGTTAAAATAATAGTGCTTTTATTATTATCAATAAGATAATTTACAACTATGGATACACTCTAGTACATCTTAGTGATGGAAATAGTGGTATGTTATTGTTCCTTGAGATTAGCAGTATTCTTTCTTTGTGTTACTGGTTTTCCCTGTGTGATTAACATTGGGGTGTCTCTTGTGAGCCACTGTTAATTTTTATTTTAAAAGCTACATGAAGAAGTAAACTTTGAACAACCATTCTTACAATTGTTGTAAATAAGAGAGATAAGAAAATTCAATGAGAAGAATACAGTAATTTTTAATTGAATTAATTTTATCCCCCTTATGATGTTTATCTAATTTCAGTTATAAGCAGCAAAAATTCAATTTGTTAAGAGAAGAGAATGAAGGTTATGCCAAGCTGATTGCTGAATTGGGGCAAGATTTATCTGGAAATATTACTAGTGATTTAATCTTAGAAAATATCAAGTCTTTAATAGGTAAGACAAATATCTATATACAGTATGTGTTACTAAGTTTTTTTTAACTGTTGGAGAATATCCATAAAGAGAAAGTGAGTGTGTTCCCTATAGGTTTCTTTTTTTTAATTAAGAGAGAAGTGTCTAGCTTGTACTTTTAAGATTTTATCAATACTAACAAAATTTGGGATGATATTGGGGTGCCTGGGTGGCTCAGTTGGTTAAGCATCTGTTTTTTCTTAATTGAAGAATTTTTTTAAAGTTTATTTATTTTGAGTATTTTGAGAGAGAGTGCACACGCGTGCATGCATGTATGCTGGGGTGGGGGACAGGGAGAGAGGGAGAGAGAATCCCAAGCAGGCTCTGCCCTGACAGTGCAGAGCCCAACTTGGGGCTTGAACTCATGAACCGTGAGATCCTGACTTGAGCTGATATCAAGAGTCCAACGCTTAACCACCTGAGCCACCCAGGCATCCCTAGCGCCTGACTCGTTCTCAGCTCGGGTCTCAATCTCAGGGTCGTGAGTTTAAGTGCCGTGGTGGGCTCTGTGCTGGACATGAAGCCTACTTAAAAAAAATTTGGGATGGTATTTATGAGAAATCTTTTTGTGACAGTTACCTCTGTGTTGGTATTAGTTTCTGCTCTCTCTAGTATTTCTAGCTTTAATTTTTAAGTATTTTTCAGTAATTTTATAGGCAAAAAATAAGCAAATGTGAAACTTTAATAAAATCTTTATTGAACTCTTGAAACACGGAGATATTTAGTTCTTTTGAACTTGATTTAAAAAATATCTTTATGAGGGACTTTGATACAAACCTTATTTTGTCTTTACAACAGCCTGCTAAGTGCAGCAGATGTTGTAAAAGATAGGGAAGTGTTATTCTCCCTACCTTTTAAATAGAGAATTTCTTTAGCATTACCCTTTTTTTTGCATTGAGTGGAGGAAATCATTGGCTTCTATAGAAAGGAGGAGTGAATGGTAGAAAAGTAGGGTAATCCTTATTTTTCTGAATGGAAAGAGTTTTTGCTTATTTTTTAGGTGTGTGCTATCTTAAGGAAGATTTCACAGCACCTAGATGTCTTAGAATCTGAGACCTGTTGGAGAAGCCCTGTTCCCTGCTTCACTGATTATATTTTAAGGGATGTTTATGCTCGACTTCTCAGTTTTTTCTTTGCTTTTGAAATTCATGTATGAATAAGAAAGAGAGAGGAAGTGTCCCAATCCTTATCCCCTTCCTCCATTCTATATGTAGGGTCCCAGGCAAAGCTAGATTTACTATAGTTATCTTTGTTTTTAGCTTAGGCTTTTGGTGATCAGCAGGTATAGCATGTAAGAAGTTTTTATTTTATTTATTTATTAAATTTTTTTTTTAACGTTTATTAATTTTTGAGAGAGAGAGAGAGAGAGTGTGAGTGGGAGAGGGCTAGAAAGAGAGGGAGATACAGTATCTGAAGCAGGCTCCAGGCTCCGACCTGTCAGCACAGAGCCTGATGTGGGGCTTGAACCCATGAACTATGAGATCATGACCTAAGCCGAAGTCG